CGGGGCGCGGCGCGGGGCGGGCGGCGCAAGTCGGCGGGACTGTGCGGAGCGGGCTCCCGAGCGGCTGCGGCGGCGCTGGGGGCTCCGGGCCGCTTCCCGGAGAGGAGGACGCGGTGTCACCGCCAGACTCGGTTTCCTTCCCGGAGGAGCCGGCCTCGCCCGGTCGGGGTCGCGGTTGAAGAGTTCGGGTTTCGGGGTCAGAGGTGTGTGACAGCCCGGCTCCTCCGCCCCCTGTCCCGTGTGACTGCGGGCAGGTCGTGGAAGCGCAACCGCCGCCCGCTTCTGTCCAGCGGAGCGCGGTGCCTCCCGGAGGGGTCGTGGCATCAGCGGGCGCGGCCCTGGCTGTGACCTGGGCCCTTCTGCTGGACGATCCCGAACCTTGAGCGCTTCTTTCACGGGGCTGAGAGAAAGAAATCCTGTTTATTTATGCAGTGGGTTTTGTTGTCAGGAACTTTAGGGACTGTTTGAAATCTGACAGGGTTCTAATTCAGAGTCGAAAATGATAACATTGCAGGCCTGATGCCAAGCAGTGCTAAGTTTCAGATCCACCTAAACACGGTATCCAGAGCCCGGATCAGAGCCCCAGAGTTACAACTTGAGTGCAACAATCACTCGAGCAACCTAAAAGCTAATCAACCTAAAACCACCCCTTTTTTGGTCATATTTGGGCAACTTGATGTCTGAATACTCGTATTTCCTTGGGACTTGATTCAGCTCATCCTAGCATCTCCTTACTGAAGTAGTTCAAGTATTACATTCCAGGAAAAATGTGAAAAAGGGTCAGTTTTCTCAGTCCAGAAGGCCCCTTTAAGCACATAACTAGTTATATTGGTAATCTTTCTGAATCGTTAACTTGGTAGGAATGAAGGAACCGCGGTAACATCCCGGGGCATTTTGCTTTAGACTCCAGAGGAAGGCTGGGTGGTGCGCAGTCACCACGCACCCGGTGTATGTGTGTACACTTGGTTAGCCTGTGGCATGCCAGGGAGGAGGGGACAGGGTCATAGTTCAGGCCACTCGAGGGCCAGGGCTCGGTACTATGACTCTGGACTGGGCCATTCCTTATTCCTGGCGGTCTCACAGAGTCATGCCATTGGTCGTGATAGGGGACTGGGCAGGAAAGACCTCCCCTCGGTGCACATCTTTCACAATTACTAAAAATAACTCCAGTGCATGTCCCTGGAGCCCTGGGATAGTGGTGTCATTGGGTACCAATGATGTTGTATAATATATGTTGTATAATTCATGTTAAAATATTACCATTAGGGTCAGCAGTGCTTAGGAATCCTTTTCTAAATATGTTTAATTAAAGAGTGGAAGAAGTCAAGCTCTGGGTAGGCATACCCCACCTATTGAGTGGCACAAATGTAGAATTTTTTGAAAAATTGAAGAATTTGCCTGGTTCAGAGCAACTTAGTCCAGTGGTTCTCAACTTTCCTAATGGTGCCAGCCTTTAATACAGTTCCTGTGGGTCACGACCCACAGGTTAAGAACAGCTGACTTAGTCACTAGAAAACCTTTCAGAAACACTTCTGTAATTTGTCAGATAAGTGGCACCTGTGAAATGTCCACCCATTGCTGTATGTTGATTCCTTGTTCTTCCCCAAGGTGTTAATAGCTCCCAGTCCTGAAAGCTGCCACCTTGGCTGTATAAATGTCCTGGGCCTTCTTCAGCATCTCAAATCAAAAACATAAAGTCTTCTCTTTTTTTCCCCAAATGTGGTGGTTATTGCTATTTTACATTTTGGTACTAACAATTTGAGATTCCAGAAATCATAAAACCAATTAAAGTGTGTGGTGTTCCAAAATTTTTCATCTGTAATATAGGCTGATTACTTGCTATAAATTGTAATCATGCAGGAAAACTCGAGTTTTAAGGAATAAGAATTGAAACTGAACATGCCAGATACCCTCCTGCCTCCCACTCTCAAAAAGTCAAAAGGGAGATGAATCAATAAAGGCTACATAGCCAGGCTATGATAGCCAGGAATTGGGTGTAGTCTATATATTTCTATCTTGCATCTATAAGTTTTTGTAATTTAAAGTAAGTTCTTTTTTTTGTTCCCTGGCTCTTTTTCACAACATCTTCATATTCATCAGACACCGATAGATGTTTTAGAGAAATTACTCCTGCCCTGTGGGCAGAGACTAAGCTAAATGGCTACTTGTGATATTCACATTGTTCTGAATGAGTACAGTATGTCCCTAAAAATCTGACAAAGACAGTTGTCAGAAAGGGGGAAACTCCATGGACTTAGGAGCAGACCTCTCCTGAATTTTCTTCCATTTTATACAGAGGCAAGCTGGAAGAAAAAACCAGACTCTGCCCCGAATACATTCTTCTTAACTTACTGAGCCAAATCTGCACTAATGAATATTTTTGGAGGCTTACAGTCTGGACTGCAAGGTATTTTAGTGGAAGAATTCTGCAATGCCTTTATTATTTTAGGCAGCTTAGAAAAAAATTGCAAAACGACTTTTTAGACATTCCAGATACTCTTTTTTCTTGGTATTAGAAAGTGTCTTGTTCTTAGAAATTACAGTACATTTGTTTTGTTTTTTTCCTTTTTATAGAGATTCTAACACTCTGAATTTCTTTCACTTATTAGGTTCTTTTCCTTTGACTTACCCTCTAACGCAAGGGAGGAACTTTGTCTTTAAGGCAAAATTTAATTAACTTCTCAAACACAAGTAAGGAATCAGTACTCTTGTACTTGCTATCTGATACACTTGCTGTTATCACTTTCTGTGGGAATGTCCAAAGTATGCATTTCCTTGAGTAGAAGCCGCAGCTGTGTAAACAGCAAAAAGTAGCTGTTCATCCCATAGCGTCTCTTAACTAAATTGGCCTCTGGGCCAAAACTAGATAAAGCTGAGGATGTTTCCATTCCTTTAGGGGTCTGGGGGCCTGTGGGGAGCTTTGCAGTGGCCGTCCCACCTTGGCCAGGCCAGGCTGTTGTGGCAGGTGCCCTGCTCTCCAGTCCTCAGCCAGGCCTTCCAGTCTGTGGGTTATTCTTCGCTTCCATTTGGGTGATAGTTACAATTTGGAAACAGTAATAACATTTCTACCCCTATCCTATTAGTGATAATGTTTTTTATTCCAAGATTTAACCATCAGGTAGGAGTTTTCATTCTTCATAGTTAAACGTGAGGGGAAGGGAGCCATGTGCCCTGATTATCTAGACCAGGGGTCGGTAACCAGGTCCTTAAAGGGCCAGGTGGTAACTATTGTAGGTTTTCTGGGCTGTGAAGCATGATCAGGATTTATATAGGTACAGTCCTCCCTGGTGTCTGCAAGGTTGGTGCCGGGACCCTTGGGAATACCAGAATCCATACACATTCCCAGTCCCTGGTGTAAAATGCTGTAGTATTTGCTTATGACCTACATACATGATCAAAATGATCTCTAGAGAACTTATAATGCCTAATATAGTTTAAATGCTATGTAAATAGTTGTGATACTCTATTTTTGAATTTATACTTTCAATTGTCATCATGGATTTTTTAAATTATTTTTTCTCCAAATATTTTCCATCTGTAGATATAGAATCCATGGATACGGAGGGCTGTCTGGACCTATGGCCATTTAAGGCCTATGTGTACAAATACGAATCTCTTCTGGCTCACGGGCCATGGACAAACAGGTGGAGGACTGGATTTGGCCAGCAGGCCACCTGTGCCAGCCCTTCTCCAGACAGGCACACTGTCATTAATGGAAAGAACTCTGCTTCTTCTTCTCTCTTACAGCCCCATGGCCTCAGCCTACGGAGTGATGGGAGATGAGGGCTCTATTGATTACACTGTTCACGAAGCCTGGAACGAAGCCACCAATGTTTACTTGATTGTTATCCTCGTTAGTTTCGGGCTCTTCATGTATGCCAAGAGGTACAGTTTTTAGTTTCTCAGGGTAATTAAGAAACTGATTTGGGCAGAACTTGGTGGCTCATGCCTGTAATCCTGGTACTCTGGGAAGCCAAGGAGGGAGACTTGCTTGAGGTGGAGAGCTTGAGACCAGCCTGAGCAAGAGCGAAACCGTCTCTCTACTGTAAGTAGATAAATTGGCCACAGGCACTGTACTCCCAGCTACTGTGGAAGCTGAAGCAGGAGGAACTCTTGAGCCCAGGAGTTTGAGATTGCTGTGAGCTATGATGATGCCACTATATTCTAGCCTGGACAATTCTAAGTTTTGTACTTTTTTAAAGAAAAATCTGTATTGAACACATAAAAATAATTTCATCAGACTATCTGTTCCTGCTCTGGTCTCTCCTTAAGCCCTGGTGACCAAGACTGGGCTCTGAAAACACCATTTCTGTAAGTAACGGCATAAGTGCATCTCTCAGCAGCCAGGCCGGCTGCTTTAATCTCCCAATTTGTTTCTGATATTAGGTTGGCCCATTTTTTTCGGCCATTTTGGTTTCCCCTTTCGGGGGGCCCGTTTTTTTGTTGCCCTTCCTTGAATTGCCCAGGCCTTTCCTTTTCCTTTCGGCCCTTTTTTGTTGGGCCTTGGGGTTTTCTTTTTTTTTGGTTTTTTTTTTTTGTTGGCCTTGGTTGCCCGTTGTTGTTCTCTTCGTTGGGGTACTTGTCTGTCCACCCCACCAAGTGTCCTCTGTCTTTCACCTTTGAGTCCCAGGTGTGTAAATCCTTGATAAATATTTCCTGCCTTAATTCCAGACATTGAAGCTGAATTTAACTGTTCTGCCACACTCCCTGGCTCCCTTCCCCAAAGTATAGTCAGAAAACAAACAGGTGAGGAGTGCTTTGAAAATCAAAAGCAATTATTAGTTAGACTGGGGTGTTTATCACAGCCGCAGGCTTCAGGACATCTTCTACAAGTTAAAAATAAAAGGCATGACATAGTTCAAAGTATTAATAATTAGTAATCCAGAAATAATTCAGGTTTGGCCTTGGGAATGGCTCTGAGCCCACCCTCCTGGCTGAGCTCTCCTGGGGCAGCAGGACCATGGGCTGCCTGAACTCTAGGGGTGGAGAGAGAATACACCCTCGGACCCTGACCCTGATCCACTTGCAGGTAACAGCTTTCCTCTAAAAATAGCCCCCCGCTTCCTCTCCAGCTTTCTTTTAAAAGCAGAGGCACACTGTTCTTGATTTTAAAATGATGTCTCTACAAAGGCAATGCTATTTTATTTAAGAAATATGGTTATTCATTGTTATCCTCAATTGAGGTCTGTTCAAATCCAGTTTTTTTTTTATTGAATGGTAGCTATGTATATTAATGCACTTCTAGGGTACAGTGTGGGGTTTTCACATGCAATCCAAAATACTTCCATCAAACTGGTCAAGAGAGCCTTCATGTCATTTTCTCAGTTATTGTTTTAAAACGTTCACATTCTACTCTTAGAAAGATTCACTTGTACCCTTGTCAGTTTATTTTCTAACTCAGTACTTTAGGTTTATCTAGATGATGGGAGAGGGAGGAAAAATCAGATATTTTCGTGTTTGTGCATTTTTTAATACAAGATGTGGCTTTGGAGACTGGGGACAATCACACCGGCGGTAACATCACTGTGTTGTATTAGGCAGACGTGTTTGGCTACTTTCTCTCCCACAGTCCCGTGGCTGTGTGTGTACGGATTCATACTGTAAGTGAAGGAGAGAATACTTGTGCCAAGGAAGCATCTCACAAAGACAGAAAATAAGATGAGTGTCTTGTCCTTCAAGTCCCTGTAATGTAGCTTCTGAGCACCAGGATCAGGAGACTGTCACAGTTCTGTAGACATTCATGGAAACCTCTGTTCTGCATTGATTTTGTATTTTAGGAACAAAAGGAAAATTATGAGGATATTCAGCGTGCCACCTACAGAAGAAACTTTGTCAGAGCCCAACTTTTATGACACAATAAGCAAAATCCGTTTAAGACAACAGCTGGAAATGTATTCCTTGGGTAAGTGTATTCTGTGCTGAACTGTATATGGAGGCATGGTTAAAATAGATTTTCTGGAATTGAGTTCAGGTAGCAAAAGGTTATCAGAGATACTAGGTAATGAAAACTGAGCACCTTTTATGAATGCTCAGCGCCCTGTGAGATGTTTATGCTTTTGTTGCTTTTACATTTTGTATCATCTGCACGTCACACGTGTTCAAAATAGGAAAATACTTAATTTAACGTAGCAGCATTATTCACAAGAGCCGAAAGGTGGAATATCCCAAATGTCCTCAACAAATGAATGGATAAACAAGGTGTGGTGCCTACAATAGAATGTTGTTCAGCCTTTGGAAAGAAGAACGCTCTGACACTCACTGCAGCATGGGGAGCCTCGCAGGCACTCTGCTGACTGAAAGGGCCTGTCACAGCAGGGCACACTGCACCCCTTCACTCTCATGAGGCCAGTCGGAGACAAAAGGCAGAAAGGTGGTTCCTGGGGGTTGAGGGCAGAGGGGACTAGGGAGTTACTATTTAATGGGTCCAGAGCTCAATGTGGGATGATGGAAAGAGTTCTGTGGAAGCTGGTGATGGTTACGCACCAGTGTGACTGTGTGTAAGGCCCCTGAACTGTATACTGAGAAGTGGTCACAATGGTAAATTACATGTTATATATCTTTGACCACAATAAAAGATACTTTGAAAAATTTAAAGATCATTTTTTAAAAATATATAGAGGCTGAAATTCTATATGGAAAATTTGCGAATTAAGTATTTATTTGTCCCTACTCAGAAGTTATCCCCTATCAGTAATATTCTGAATAATAGAGCAGATACAATCATAAACCCACTGTGCGGTATTTTTCTCTCTTGATATTTTGATGGGAATGACACAAAATTATTGGAATCTGTGTTTGCAGGGTGTGCTAGTTTTCTCTTGCTGCTGTAACAGGCCCACAGCATGGTGGCTGCCAGTGACTGTGAACATGCTGTCTTGCCCTCTGTGGGTCAGAAGTTCCACAGCAGGCTCACCGGCTAACGTCAGGGTGTCAGCAGGTTCCACTTTTCTGGAGCCTGGGGGGACATCTGTGTCCTTGTCTTCACAGCTCCTGAAGGCCTCCCGCATTCCTGGGCTCGGGGCCCCTCTCAGTTTCCCAGCAGCAGCAGCCCCAGGTCTTTCTCACTCTTCTTCCACGTCCACTTCTCCCCCTCTCTGGACTTACCCAGGAAATGTTCCTAAAAAAGATTTTAAGGGACCTGCTGATTAGGTTGGGCCAAATAGTCTAGGGGATTGTCCCCATCTCAACACCTTAATCACTTCTTCAAAGTCCCTTTTGCCCGTTGATGTGATGTGTTCACAGATTTCGGGGATTCGGCTGTGGCCGTGTTGTGGCCGTTATACTTCTGGACTCCGAGTACCTGTGTGGATCTGCGCAGTCAGGGGGTCTCAGCATTCCTGGGGTTCATGACGTATCTTGTCCCAACAGAGTCTGGCAGTTGAAGAGGAAATAGCAAACAAAATTCTTTTTCTTAAAGAAGACCCCCAAAATTCTTTAGTCACAAAAGTCTGGATCTACCCAGAGTAGCATAAACAAATAGTCTCTCTTTCTTGGCTTGTAAAGACTAAAAAGAAGAGGCTGAGTAAGTTTAAAGTAGTGAATGATATTCGCAGTGTTCTCTCCAGTTTCAGATTGAGGCAGTTTTTCTTCAACAAACATTTCTCAGTAGTACAAAAAGACAGAATTGCATATCTGGTTTTTCTTAAGGTTTATATTGTCGACATTATGTTCAACAGTAAGTCTCGTAGGCTTGTAAGTTAAAAACTAGTCAGAATCCGTGTAGTGGGACAAGAGCACTAAGAGGTAGAAATGGGGGTAATAAGGAAATTACAGAGCATTAACTTTAATTGCTTAATGTTTACCTTGTATGTTAAAGTTAGAATCCTGATCCATAAATAATAATAATAAACATATCAAAATGGGAACAGCAGTGTCGAGGAATTAGAGGACCATGAAATAGAATAAGTCTCCAGAGAAATAAAACTGCTTAATTCTAAACTAATTCTCTACTGAGAATCATGGCGTGACTGTGATTTAATGATGTTAGCTAGTGATTACTTTGCAATTTCATTAATTTTATTACTTCTTTTCTTGTTTTTCTTTCATAGCAAGGAAATACGACTGTCAACAGCCACAAAACCAAGGTGATAGTGTGCAGCTCTCCTTGGAATGAAGCCTTAGAAAATGAGCGACATAAGGGATTGTTGTTAAACAATACGGCAGCAACCGCCTGATTCTACTAAATCATGGACAGCATTGTAAAAACCTCTGTCTGCATAAAATCATTTCACCTGTGACTTTTTCCAGTTTTTTTGTTCCATGTTTTGTTTGTTGTAATTGCATCTCCAAGCCGTCTATTACACAAATACAAATGGCTCATGAGGTCTGGGCTCAGGGAGCCTGCAGGGACGAACACATATACCATAACCAGAGATGGAGACTTGACCTTGTGAAGACCTCTGATTTCCTGGGGATACAGTCAGCCAGAAATAAACACACAGCTTCGGAAGCCAGAATCCTGGAGCCATTTTGATGAGAACATTTTTGTAAAATTAAAAAATAAAAATTCAGGGTGGCGCCTGTGGCTCAAAGTAGTAGGGCACCAGCTCCATGTGCCGGAGGTTGCAGGTTCAAACCCAGCCCTGGCCAAAAACAGCAAAAAAGAAATAAAAATAAAAATTCAGCCACTGGAGTATCTTCCTCCTAGATTCTATCCTGTGATAAATGTACTATCAGTACAGGTGAATTTGTGATATTGCTGCTGTTAACAACTCTTTAACTGAATTAACGGCCTTTCCCATGTCCTGAAGCGTACCCACCGCTAATTTTAGTGCTTTCTGTAACTGCATTGTTTCCTCATTAATTATGTCCTCAGGAGTTTGTTTTCATCTCCCAGTTTCATTTCCACCAGGTGGCTCTTGTGTAAGCCGGACTGGGCGGTGCTGCCCAGAGAATGGACCCCTCTGTGTATTGAGAGCTCTTTGTCCGTGTCACTGTCACTGCTCAGTGGTCTGCTGACTTCTGCCTTTTTCATCCAATAAGCTTTCCTGAAGGTGTCTTATATCTTAACCCGTTTTGTGCCATATAATGAAATAATTTTTACCTAATTTTTCATATTTATTTAAATAAAAGCTGGTTGGAGGAAGTAGCAGGGAAATTTAACCTGAAATTTAACCAGCAGCTACATGAACCATGTAGCTCAAACAATCCGTTTTTGGATTAAAATTATTCTTAATTGTAAGAGCTAATCATTTTAAGTATTGTTTCCTTTTCTTTTTTTTTTTTTTGAGACAGAGCCTCAAGCTGTCCCTCTGGGTAGAGTGCCGTGGCATCACAGCTCACAGCAACCTCCAACTCCTGGGCTCAAGCGAGTCTCCTGCCTCTGCCTCCCAAGTAGCTGGGACTACAGGCGCCCGCCACAACGCCTGGCCATTTTTTGGTTGCAGCCGTCATTGTTGTTTGGCGGGCCCGGGCTGGGGATTTGAACCTGCCACCTTAGGTGTACGTGGCTGGCGCCTTAGCCGGTTGAGCTATAGGTGCCGAGCCTCCTTTTCTCTTTTTATTGTGAAATTAGAGAATATAAATTTTAAATGAAAATTAAGGTTTAGACAAAAAGCTAAAATGCCAAGCTTGCAAATGCCAAGGAAAATAAAGGAAAATTGATTTTACTTTAAATTTTAATTATATCATTAAAAATATACAAATTAAACAAAATGAATTATTAACCAAATGGAATATAATTTTTAATTCACAAAGGAGGGTAAAGTCACCATCTTCCAGCATTCATTTTTTTTTTTTTTTCTTTGAGACAGAGACTCAAGCTATCTGCTTGGGTAGGGTGCTGTAACATCACAGCTCACAGCAACCTCAAACTCCTAGGTTCAAGTGAGTCTCCCGCCTCAGCCTCCCAAGTAGCTGGGAACACAGGCGTCCACCACAACGCCCAGCTATTTTTTTTTTTTCAGTTGCAACCGTCGTTTTTGGCAGGCCCGGGGCTGGATTCAAACCCGCCACCTTAGGTGTATGTGGCTGGCGCCTTAGCTACTTGAGCCACAGGCACTGAGCCGCATTCACAGTTCTTAAGCAGAGTCTGACATTCTGTTACTGTCTTGTATACCAGTGAAGCATCGATCAACCCAACCTTGCTCATTGGAAACTGTAATGACTACTGAGGAGACACGGCCACAGTCCAGGACACCACAGGGGATGCCAGTGGGGCTAATTGCAGACACACTTTCTGCACTCTTTCTGAAGGGTCAAGACTGATCAGCAGATATTTTGGGGAGGGGAGTTCCTCCCTTCCTTCCTTGAGACTTGTGGTCGTCAGAGTTGGCTCTTTTCATCTTGAAGCCGTGGGCTGTTTTCCACAGAGAACTGGAGATTGGGTTTTATAGATGAGTTCCAAGGACAGATTTTCGTCTACAAATTAACAATGAATAAAAGGGGCTGAAAATGTGATTATTCAAAAGTCGCTTACTTAGTTGCATTTTACCTTTACTTAAGGTTCTGGATGTTTTGGGCCACTTACTTTTCGTTTGTTTTCTTTTCTTTTTTTAGAGACAGGGTCTCCCTCTTATTAAGGCTGATCTCAAACTCCTAAGCTCAAGCAATCCACCTGCCTCAGTCTCACTAGGATTAGAGACCTGAGCCACTATGCTCAGGTTAGGACCACTTCTTAGATGCCTTACTTAAAGGCATTCATGGTGAAACAGAATTAGTAACAATTCTTATTTACGCAAAGTTAATGCTTATCAAAATATACCCTTTCTGTGTTTACTTAAAAAGACCCTGGCAAATCTAGTAGGCTTTGTGAAAGGATTATGAATTTTTAGAAACACTAATTATAGCTGTTAAGAAATTAGAAACATATTACCAATCTATGACAAATGTGACACTGCCCTGCCTTGCTAGCAGCTTTGTGACTGAAACGTGACTTTTACTTTTTTAAGTTGTTTGAGTGTAAAGTTGATTTCAAACAAGTCTTTATTGGAGGGATGTCGCTTCCTGGTCCAAATGATCTTTTTCCTTTGAAGTCTATTGCAACCTGTCATTATCAGTCAGTCAAAGGATCTAGTTTATCTTTCTCCTAAAAAACTTAAAATGAAACTTGAATTTGTTTTAGTTCATATTAAGTCACATTCAGTGCAATCAAAGGGGACTCTATATTTCTGAAGAGTGTAGGATAATTTTGAAAGCACTAATACAAATATGTGTAGAACACAGGACTGGAAACATGAGTTCCACCCAGTTTCAATCTTTGCTGCATCTGTTGGAATCAGAGCAGACAAAGGTCACTATGAAAGTTTTGAGACAGACTATGGTATGGTCCATTATTTCACTTCCAAGGAACACGGTTGACAGTGGTATCCCTTCTGATTCACCCTGTGAGTTTCAACTTGTTCAGCTTCTCAGTGTTACCGGAGGCCCCATTTGCGTCTGTCTGTGCCTAACTCAGTGGGCATCAGCTGTGGAGTTGGGAGGACTCACTTTCATGTCATGGTTTTGTATGATTTTAAAAGCGAGATAAGTAAGTTTCAAAGCCTTAAGCATTCGTAGTGGGCTTTCAGGGACCTCACTCCTCCCCACGCAGCAATTTTTCAATGGGCTCAAGAATTTAGAAGGGGCCAAACTTCACTGAAAGACAAGGAGAGGAATGTATGTCTAGCAACTGCAGTGACTGAGGAAACATCGCTGCTGTGGGGAAAATAGTTGCAAAAGCAATTCAGTGGCCTTAAAAGGACATTGAAATGGCAGATTCAATTGCCCGCAGCGTCCAAAATCCTGCATGATTCTCTTTGAGTCGGGAAAGCTTCACCCTGATGTGTGCCTCCCACTCTGATCTGTGTTGATGTTGAGTGGCGTGAAGAGATCCTGTTCAGGTTCCACGGACACGAGTCTACATGCTTTTCTGATATTGTTACTGGTGATAAAACCTGGATTTACCAGTTTGATCCAGACAGCCTTTCAGACGGAGCGAAGTGGCTATATTTGTTATCCTAGCTCTCTGGGAAGCTGAGGCAGGGGAGTCACCTGAGCTCTGGAGTTGGAGACCAGCCTGAGCAAGAGCGAGACCCCATCTCCTCTAAAAATAGAAAAACTAGCCGAGCACTGTGGCAGGTGCCTGTAGTCCCAGGAGACTGAGAGCAGCTTGTACCAGAGTGTGACCTCGTGTCTAAAAACAGTCAGGTGTTGTGTCAGGTGCCTGTAGGCCCAGCTACTTGGGAGGCTGAGGCAAGAGAATTACTTAAGCCCAAGAGTTTGAGGTTGCTGTGAACTATGACGCCAGAGCACTCTATGGGGGCAACAAAATGAGACAAAGGAAGAAAGAGAGAGAGA